TAATTTATGGTGTAAACAATAATAATAAAGAATTCAAAATATTTGAAATTATTATCATTATTTACAATAATAGAAAAAAAATCTTGTCAAATCCAAAAGTTCACAATATTTAAAACAGAAAAAGTGTTTTTTGTCCAATATATAAAGTTATTCAAATATTTTTAATAAAAATTTTTTAATAATAATTTTGTGCAATTTAACTTATAAATTTATTTAATAAAATTTTTTTTATGTTAATCCTACAGTATGAATTTACAAAAGTTTCATTAATACAGTGATATTTTTTTAGGTTAATTCATTAATAATTAATAATATTTTAATAATTTTAATTTATAATCCACCTGAAAAACCATAAAAATCATTTAGAAATCCTCTGTATTTGCACACACAAAACCCACGGCAGCCTTTTCTCTCCTAAAGGACTAGTTTCAGTACCCAAAAGGCCCAAAAGCTTCTCAAAAGCCCCCACCTTGCTTTCTTTGTCTGCCACTATGATACCTTAAATATTTCCCTGGACTCTCCTTTCTTCCTCCACTCTCCATCCGCCTTTCTCTCCTCTCAAAGGTCGCCGGAATATCTTTCTCCGGCGGTTCTGTCTATTGTGTCATTTTCTTAGCTTTTATACAATAACATATGATGAAGATAGGTTGACCTTCATTTTCTTTTCTCTTCTGTTTGGTTACTGAGAAAACAAGAGAAATCAGAGAGAAAGCTTTAATCTTTTTTCAATATCCTTCAAAAGAATCAAAACCCCATCTGGGTTTTGTTGTTCACCTTATTCTGTCATCCGGGTGTTTGTTAAAATTCCTAAAAAAATAAAAGCTTTCCGCTTGAAATACCACAATGATCAGTGCTAAAGACCTCTACAATGTCATGACTGCCGTTGTGCCACTCTATGTGGCGATGTTTTTGGCCTACGGCTCAGTGAAATGGTGGAAAATCTTCAGCCCGGATCAGTGCTCCGGCATCAACCGATTTGTGGCCCTGTTTGCAGTTCCTCTGCTCTCTTTCCACTTCATTTCCACCAACAACCCGTATGCCATGAACTACAGGTTCATAGCTGCAGATACTCTCCAGAAAATCATAGTCTTGGCGGTTTTAGCCATCTGGTCTAGAGCCAGCTCAAGAGGCTCCCTCGAATGGTCCATCACTCTGTTTTCACTTTCTACTCTCCCAAACACTCTGGTCATGGGGATTCCTCTGTTGAAGGGAATGTATGGGGAAGCCTCAGGGACCTTAATGGTCCAAATAGTTGTGCTTCAGTGTATAATCTGGTACACATTGATGCTCTTTCTGTTCGAATACAGAGGAGCCAGACTCTTGATAGCCGAGCAATTTCCGGACAATGCTGGCTCTATCATCTCCTTCAGGGTTGACTCCGACGTTCTTTCACTAGACGGAAAGGAGCCGTTGCAGACCGAAGCTGAGGTCGGTGAGGATGGGAAACTCCATGTCACCGTGAGGAAGTCAACGAGTTCTCGGTCGGAAATTTTCTCTCGCCGGTCACATGGTCCGCACTCCGGTGTTTCTTTAACTCCCAGACCGTCTAACTTGACCAATGCAGAGATTTACTCTCTTCAGTCATCCAGAAACCCAACCCCTAGAGGGTCCAGCTTCAACCACAATGATTTCTACTCAATGGTGAATGGAAAAAACGCCAGCAATGTTAGTCCACGGCAGTCCAACTTTGGGACTCTGGGTTTTGATGAAGAGAATGGACTTGCCGTGTTTGGAAACCCAGTGAGAGCCAATGGAAATGCTTATCCAGCTCCTACCAGTGCGGGGATCTTCTCTCCGGTGACCGGACCAGGTGGGAAGAAGAAAGCAAATGGGGCTGAAAATGGCAAGGATTTGCACATGTTCGTCTGGAGTTCCAGTGCTTCTCCTGTATCAGAAGGTGGGCTTCATGTTTTCAGGGGAGGGGAGTATGCCAACGATCTTGGTGGGGTAGCTCACCCTAAAGGTATAAACTTTAATCTTTGCCAACTATTAGTGTTTTTGTTTTGATATTTTTGATTTGGGATTTTCATGTGCCTATGTTTTTATAATATTGGACATGAATAGTATTCTTTGGAATGTTTTCTTTGTTTGAGTTAAAATGTATTTGTCTTGTTGGGATATATATGGGTTTGAGTTGTGGTTTCCTGGTGCGCTTGTTGTAGTGTCATTTTCTATCTTCTAGTTCTTCCAACTGTATTGGGGACGACCTTTGTCATCACTACAACACATTTAACTAATGTCATGTTCTTTTATTGCATTAGTAATGACTTCATGTTGGATGTTCAGATTATGATGAGTATGGTAGGGATGAGTTCAGTTTCGATAACAGACAGACAGCTAATGGAGTTGCTGGAGAAGGGCCAGTGCTGTCCAAGCTGGGTTCTAGCTCCACAACGGAGCTTCGACCCAAGGCTAATGCCCATGTTGAGTCTAAGCCAACTTCTATGCCTCCAGCTAGTGTTATGACCCGGTTCATCCTCATAATGGTGTGGCGAAAACTGATCAGGAATCCCAACACCTATTCCAGCCTGATTGGCCTCACTTGGTCTCTAGTTTCATTCAAGTGTGTAAAACCATTTGCCTTGTTATCTCAGAAGCATTCTAGTTTCACTGGTAATAGTTCTTATTGGTTGTATTTTGCAGGTGGAAAATTGAAATGCCTGCGATAATTGCTGGTTCCATAGCCATTCTCTCCAACGCAGGTCTTGGAATGGCCATGTTTAGTCTTGGTGCGTAGACGATCACAGCTCTCTTAATAAATGTCCATTACTTAAATTCCTTTATTCTTAGCACGCTAAAACTGTGCATTACAGGTTTGTTTATGGCACTTCAACCAAAACTCATTGCATGTGGAAACACGATTGCTACCTTTTCCATGGCTGTTAGGTTCCTCACTGGTCCTGCAGTCATGGCTGCTGCCTCAATTGCTGTTGGGCTGAAAGGGGTTCTCTTGCATATTGCCATTGTGCAGGTAACATTAACCTCAAAGCAACCCAAACAATTTTTGGTTTTAGCTTCTTTGAAAACATTTGATTCGAGCCTATGTTATCCTTGAATTTCCAGGCTGCTCTTCCACAGGGGATCGTCCCCTTTGTCTTTGCCAAGGAATACAATGTTCATCCAGACATACTCAGCACAGGGTGCCTAACAAAACCCAACAAAAACAAATGAATTAGTTTTTACAAGATTTTGAACTGAAATTCTGATATCCCATATTTCATTTCTGTTGCAGGGTGATATTTGGCATGCTAATTGCCCTTCCCATCACACTGGTTTATTACATCTTGCTGGGGCTAAAAGGCTAAGAAAAGAAGACTAGGCGACCATTTTGAATGGTTGTTTTTCTTATTTTGGTTGGAGGGGTTCTCTAACTAAAGCATCATATAAATGTAGGAACTCAGGAGAAGGTGGAGAAGATTAACACAAATTCTCTTCTCAGAAAAGGAGAAATTGACAAAATTGGGGAGTAAGAATTTTTGTAATGGCTTCTTGTGCTTTTGTTCTTTTGCTGAAAAAAGTGAATTTGTCTTGTCTGTAGTTAATTTCTCAATCAAAGATGCCCCTTTTTCTTTTTCTTCAGTTTTTTTCTTCAATTTTTATTTTGCTAATTAAACTGTAAAACAAAAGTCATTAAATATAAAACAAAAGTCATTAAATGGAGAGGCGCTTCGGCCCTCATTCCAATGGTTAACCCTTGTTCCTTTCTCATTTTGAATCTGTTCTTTTGTGAGAATGTAAGTTTTTAAACCCAAATTTTTTCCAGATTTTAGAAACAACAGCTGGCATTGAAAAAAGTGGGGTCTGGTTTTGTCTGTGAGGGAGAAAAACATAATGATGATTGGGACATGGAAACGAGGGCAGGTGTAGCGGTGTAGGTGCTGTAGGTCTACAGATCGCTGGTGATGGGTGCATAAATCTAAAGTTGTGTCGGCTTGTTGGGAGGTGCAAGAATTGACCTGTATTCTCCTGATGGCACGGCACGGCGTGGCGTGGCGTGGCGTGGCATGGCATGGCTGCCATGGCAGCCTTCTTTTCTTCGTGTTTGTAATTATTAGGACAAGTTGCAGTTATTCCTTGTGGTTTTAGGGTAAATACACTTAACTCCTCAAATGAGAAAAACGTGCACTTAATTTGCGAAATTACATAAAGATGCATTTAACCCCCATACAATTAAAAATATTGAAAGTCAAAATCCCCTTTTTTTAATTCAATCTTTTAACTCCTTTTTTTTTTTATCATTTTATTTAAGAGTATTTTTTATTTTTCGTTCTCAATATTAGAATTATTTAAGAATAAATAACTACATATATTTTTTCAAGTGTTTTTTGGTACATTAGTGAAATAAATTAAATTAGAAACTAACCCCCACTGAACATAATCCCCATAGCATCACTCAATAAGAGATGGTTCAGCCCAAGTGGAGGAGATGTCAAAACTATAAATCCCTGCGGTGAAGTATGGCCTAGTTAGGCAAGAAAATCTGCAATCCCGTAATGTGTGCCCAAGGATGCAAGAAGTGAAAGACTCCATTAGCGCCCTAATATCCAGTACCAATGCAGCAATCATGCTGTTGAGCTTTCTGTTACTAGTGATAATTTGAACAACAGCTAAAGAATCAAGTTCTGCAACCAGTCCATCAATACCAAGATTGTGGTAGAGATGGAGTCCTTGTAACCCACATAGCTCAGCTGTAAAGCTAGTAGTTTTACGGTGCCTACGTTAGCAACAAAACCATAAAGGTAATTATATCAATACCAAGATTGTGATAGAGAAGTATATCTTTTCAAATTGAATAAAGGTAATTATAACACTTTTGTGTTTTGGGATTAAGTATACTTTTTCCAAACCACATGGTGGGCTATGTGCAATTTTTTCTAATTCTTTTTTTTTTTTTTTTTTTTGGTGTATCATGGGTCAATATGAAGGTTCACAACTCTCTTTTTTTTTTTTTTTTAACAATTTATAATTATTTACAGGGTTAATTAGAGGATGGAGGAAAGAGATTTCGTGAGACTCGAACGTGCAACTCACTGAAAATAGACAACCTTAACCCAGGTTCAATACCACTGGGTCAGAGCGGGCTATTCTACAACTCACCTTCTTTCCTATTTTTATTAGCAGAAATTAGAGACAATGGTTACTTTTGATGCGAGAAGTTAAGGGACCCCAATAGATATAAAGGTAATTATATCAATACCAAGATTGTGATAGAGAAGAATATCTTTTCAAATTGGATAAAGGAAATTATAACTTTTTTTTTGTGATTTGAGATTGAGTATACTTGTTCCAAACCACATGGTGGGCTACCGTGCAATTTTTTTCTAATTCTTTTTTTTTTTGGTATATCACGGGTCAACATGAAGGTTCACAACTCACCTGTTTTCTTATTTTTATTAGCAGTAATTAGAGAAAATGGTTGCTTTTGATCTGAGAAGTTAAGGGACCCCAATAAACATTATACTGATGCAAGAATGAAAATGGACAAAAATAAATAATATAGGGTCATTGACTTTAACCCTTTTAATTATAGAAGTTATTATCTATACATCCTAGTGGGTTCAACTTTGTTTATTTTATTCCCCTATTTTCTTCTTCAATGGTACAGGGTACAGTGGATGAGATAATCAAAAGTTAGGAAAACAATTATAATGTTAATGAGCTTAGTGAGTATAATGATGAGACAAGCTTAATTATGTTTCTTCCTTTTAATTTCAAGGTATTGTTTGGTCACCTTTCTCTCTAATGAGCGAAGCCAAGCCAGACCGTAGTAGTACTTTTTAATTTTCCATAAACATAAATGTTTTGTGCGCTACAATTGCTAACCATCTAACGGCATCTGATGGGGGAATACTCTCATATTTGATGGTATTGTTTTATAATCCGATATAGTTTAAATTACGAACACAATAAGCAAGCTGAGTTCCAAACTTTCTAAGTTACTATGTTTTCAAACAAACCCTTGGTCCATCCTTTAGGCTTTTAAACAGATGGGAGTTTAAGTTGATCAATCAATTACTAGACTGGGCCCGATCACCCATTCCACCTAGCGGATTAGAGCCGCAGCGATCGGCCCAACATGTTACTGGTCTCAGGCAGGTTCCCAAGCCCAACTCCTGTTAACTGGTCCTAGCCTCAGAGATTGATTGGAAATTGGAATTTCGTTGCAAAAGTCCTAGGTTACTTTTAAAGCCCAACACTGACTTGGGCCCCAACTCCAAGTTCCAATATTGTTATTTCAAGGCTCAATTCATTTAGAGCCTCGGGCCAGCTCAAAATTGATTCTAGGTTTTTTTTTTGCTTATAAAAGAAAACGATCAACACAACACATGATTAAGATTATAAAAAACAAAAACAATAACAAAACACAATAACAACACATGATTAGGATTTGTTCATTTCAGTTCAATTCATACTGAAGTGTACACCTATAAGTTTAAGGGTCTTGAGTTATGATGTATAGTTTTTGTTTTTTTAGCATATTTAATGATATGTTATATAACAAAAGATAATACTCTTCTTCTTTTTTATTTCTCCATCCACCTTAAGATTTGAACACAAAATTTTTAATTTTTAATCATTTCAAACACCTCTCCAAATTTTTAATGTATTATTATTATACCACTACAAAATACTAACATTTTTTACTTTTTGTTTGAAAAACAGGAGCATTGCTTTTTTTTTTTTTTTGTAAGAAATAATATTTATAAATATAAGAGACACTTTAATCCGCAATATAAATTTAGCTCGAATAAAGCTCAAGGTGACAAATTTAGCTCGAATAAAGCTCAAGGTGACACCAGTCTAGCTTTGTACCTAAGATGCTTCCCACGCAAACAAACATAATCTCTCAATAGAGAGAGATGAGAAATAAAATTAAACAAGTGAAGCACAAAGTCACATTTTGGTGTGTGTGTGTGTTTCCAATACAGAATCTCCAATCCCCATGATAAATGTAGCTACCAAGCATATATATAATCTTCTGGCAAAGGCAGATATATAAAACTAGAAAACTCACCTGTTGAACAGTTACTTGTGTCTGCCGATGATTGCTCACACTTAAAAAAATAAATAAAAAAGAAAAAAAAAATGTCAACATATAATAATCAACCCTTGCCAATATGATTGCCCCTTTCCCCTCTACAGTCTGACCAATTTTAACAAAATGAATCATTGGTGGGTCACCTAACATTATCATATTCAAAATAGAAGGTGGGTCTATATGAGTATGATTAAAGATAAATAGTGACATTTCTTAAGACATTTTCCCTTCACAAACCCCTCTTCACAAATCCCTCTCCAAAAAAACAAGCTTATCTATCTCATCACCTTATTCCATCTTGATAATCCTTTTGCCAATCGTGTGATAAACAAGTCAAGATGGGTCGAGTATTGAGATCTTTTTTCTAGTGCTTGAAGACGTGGGTCTGAATTAAACCGCGTAAATCTTAATGTCTTCTCACTATCTTTCTTTTATCTTTATTCTCTTTGTTCTTTTCAAAGGCATTTCTCTTTGCAGTAGCTAAAAAACAAGTTTCTTGGTAGCTTCTTATCAGGACTTTGTAGTGACAAAAATGGGGCCAGAGATTTACCACTACCACACATAATAATATCATCTCTAGGCATTACAGTGCCCAAAGAAAAGGTCTCAATTCAACTCATGAACCTCATTATATATTAGACTATGTAGTAGGCAAAACTTAATATAAATTTGTCGTTTCAAAGTGGGCTAATCCCCGCGATTAGCGGTCTAGTTGCCATAGGATTCTCATTATCCAATAGGGTTTAGTTTTATTTAAGTTTGAACAAAACATTTGACCAAAATATGGGGAATAGTAGCTTCTAAGTGAAGCAAAATTCCCTCCGTTGAAGAATACCTGTATCCCATGTTCTCGTGTTCATGTGCTATAATTTTTTAATTTTCGCACCCACCTCAAACTTTCCATTTGTCTAGCACTTCTCGATCAGCTTTATTCCATTGAGAAAAAAGAAGAGGTAGTGAGGACGGTATCAAGGAATAAGAATTTTTCCTTTCTTTTATGATATGATATGACGAATATTTTCTTTTTATGTTTTTGTCTTGAAACTCATGTTTTTCACATAAAAAATCTATAGTTTGAGTACTAAAATTATTAAAATATCGTTAAGAATAATCATTGATACACAATTCAGTTCAATATACTGTACAATATATTAAATAAAAATTATTATTATTTATTTAAAATTAAAAATAAATAAATTTAAAGATATAGTTATACATACAAGATATACGAATTAATTAAATCGGATTGTATTTATATTATATTTTAATAATAAAATTGGAGAGTACCAGAAAATTTGTTAAATTAAATGTGTATCAATCTTTTTTATCATTATTAAAGAAAAATTATTAATATACTTTTTAGTTTGGTATATTTTTTTTATATTTATTTAGTTTAATTATTAAAATATAAAATAAATACAGTTCGTTAAGCTAATTTCTACATCTTGCATGCAATGTTATTTTTAAATTTATTTATTTTTAATTTTATATAAAAAAATATTTTTTAAATAAAAATATTAAAAAAAAAA